TGTATTTTTATAAACTATATATATACTTAAGATATTACTAACTAATAAAAATTATCAGCTTGGCTAATTAATTAACTACTTATTTTAAAAAAAAATTGTTACTAAATCTTAATCAATTTTTATAAGAATAATAAAACTAGATCAACTGTTTATTAAATATAAAAGATTTTAATAAGTTTTTTATTAAGAATTAAATAGTTCTAAAAATACAGATAAAATTAGAACTTTAGACAAATTTAAGCTAAAAGATGTTCTGTAATATAAGATAAATTAGATAAACAAAAAATTTAAATAAATTAAATCTGTAATTAATTTGCAACTATGGCATTTAGTATAGAATTTATATAGTAATGTATAAGCAAACTTTAATACAAAAAAATAAAAAATTATAAAAAAAATATTAAAAAATAAATAGATTTAATAAATAAAAATAATTTTTTTTGTATGTGTGTTAAAGATCATACTTTATAATGGACTTTATTGTCTTTTTATTGAATTAGTTAATACAACTATTTTATATAGAAATAAGAGTACAACTAGTCACATATACAACTTTTGGTTGCCTATTTAAGTAGTCTGCTCTAAGGTTATATACTAGATGCTGTACTTATAATCTACTAGAAGATTATCTATTTAAACTCTTTAATCATCTATCTTGTTATAATGTAACACCACTATGTTTTTAACTAATATACCATCTGAGCAGTATGATACCTACCCTTTTTGTACTAATTTTTAGACTGTTATACATTTTAGAGTACAACATCTGCCAGTAAGATGTAAGAGGCCCCTTTTGTTAACTACTTACTTATTCTACAGAACATTAATAAGAGCTACCTTTGCAGAGTTCATCTAAACCCTGGCACTGACTTTATAACATATTTTAATACTTTTAGTATGCTTCTGTTTTTGTTCTTAGACTTCCAATTCAGATAGTCCAGAAGGACTATGGTCTGTGCTTAGTATATCAAGACTGGCCTGATATCTTTTTTGCTTGGTCCAAAATTCAGTGGCCTGGTTAGTAGTATCTCTTATCCAAGATTCTTGTCTGCCTAATTCCTTTATATTGGTATTTGTTTCCTAGGTCTAGCCTTTACAATAGTATTGTCAAAGATCTGTACTATCTCTCTACTTAATATTTTTAACTGGCTTCAGTTTTTTAGTTCTACAGATTTATTATATACAACTACAAGAACTTATTTAGATTTGTACCACTCAGTACCAGTTTGAATTCCTTTGTATAACTAAAGTTATACAGATGCCCTATAATCTGCCAGTCATGCTAGTATAACTATAGTTACAGGTATCTTATTCTAACTAATTAACAGAATACTGTTGCTATAAAACTTTCTATATATTACATAGGTAATTATTTAAATTTTTGCTATTAGTAGGTTTTGAACTCACAATCTACTACTTGAGAAATTGACAACTTATCCATTTTACTAAGTTACTATATCTCTAATAAAAATAATTTAAATTAGAATATATATAAAAAAAATTAAATTTTATAAATAAATAAAAAAGTTTATTTTTAGATTAAAATTTTTATTTTAAAATTATGATTTTTGTTTTATTTTATAAATATAAATATTATTAGAAGTTTTATTATATTAAAAGATATATACTAATTTATATTTATTTTTAGTATTTAATTTAAGTAGTTTGTCTATTACTAAATTTTATACTAGATACTATAACTGTAATTTAACTATAAATTTTATTTATTTAGTTTTTTTTAGTATTAAGATAAGGCCTTGCTCTATTATTATTAGTAATTTTAATTGTGTATATTAATATACTATATTAAGATATATTAAAATTTTTTATAGCCTAGTAGTTTAGTAATCTTCTTTACAGACAAAATTACCAATTTAATTCTAGCTAAAAGCAAAAATTCTATAATTTACAAAAGCATATAAATATATGTTGTTGAAGATGGTGAGTTAATGTTTTTTTTGGTTTTATAATAGGGGCAAGGAAAATGCGATGGATTGTTACTCGAAAATACCAAACATTATGAAACGTTGCACCACGGAAGAGGCAGAACGATTTGGCAAAGCTAAGGTGTAAGTGCAAGGTCTTGGTTTATTGCTAATGACAGTTTTTTTTTATTATTAATATGATTGTTGACTCCCTTTTAATTCTCTTTTAAAAAAAAGACACTTATATACAAGAATAGCACCCTACAAAAAGAGATGGCATAGTGCCCAAGATCCAACATTTTTCTACCAAACTCAACAGTTTCAGATCCATCATTATGATCGGGACCTTGAATGGCCTCATGCGGCACAAACAACTAGCCCAATCTGGCAGATCTCTGCCAACAAACGGCTATAGTACCTGATTCTGCATCATTACGACATTGTTTCAGATGGGCAGCTTGGCTTCCAAGTTTTTTGAAGTACAATCAATGCACAATTATTTGCTTGTTTCAGGGGCATTCTTACTGTAAGGGGAATGGGTTGGGGCGGCACTGAGTTAGAGCAACTCTGATACCTGTTTTGCCTATAACAATGTGAAGCTCTATGGCTAAGTTTATGTAAATAAAAGATTAGTGTATAAGAAAATTCTTAGAAAAAAGCTTTCTAATATGAAGAATTGAAGCTTGATATAAGAAAAATAGTGAATATACCAAAAATAAAAAGAAGATATACTAGCAAATAATACAATAAATAGAAAAAAAAGTTATAAAAAAAAATAAACTTACTGAAATTCAAACACCTCTAGCACTAATAACAGTTTTAATAAATATAGAATATGTTAAAGTTAGACAACATTTAAGAGATAATCTAGGTATTATATTTAGTAAATTTGCATTAAGAGTAAATTTAAAAAACTATAAATATTTAGTAATATCTAATAAAATGATACTTTGATATAAATAGTAATTAAATAACTCTAATCTGATATGTTACTTAATAGTAATATAAATATTACATATATGCAAATAAGTATTAAAAATCAGAAAGTTTAAATAGAGGACTTAGAAGCAGGTTTCAGATATAGCATCTAGTAAATAACTTATAAATGAAATTCTTAATTAGATAATAACTAAAATTATATATATTGATAATTATATTTTTATTAATAGACTATTGTATATAAAAATATAATTATATATTATTAAATAAAGACATATAGGCAAGATTACACTTTAAACTAAAAAAAAAAAAATACTAAAATTGTAAAATACAAAATAAAAACTATATACAACTTTATTTGTAATCTATACCTACTAAATAGTTAAGGTTTATCTAAATTTGTAGTATTAAAATATAATTATAAAGTATGTTATTATTAATCTAAGGTATTAACTATATATTAATTTTTCTAATAATCTATTTAATTGCTAGACTGATATTAGAATATAAATATAATTAATCTGCTATTCTATATAAATATAAGTATATATAATTTGTATATAATCTTTTATAATAGCTAGTTTGTTATATTTATTGTAAAGTATTATAACTATTAAAGGTTTTATTTATTTAGTATAAGGCTATGCAAACTCATATAATTGGTTCTTATACCAGGCAGATTACTTTTTCTAAAAATTAAAATTTTAATTTTTTTTTATATATAATTAAATTTTTTGTCAATATACAAATAAAAAAAATTTTAATTATGTCAAAAATTTTTTATATATAAAATTTTTATACAGTCTGTTGGGTTATTTTTTTATTTTATGTTATAAGAATCAGAAAATTAACTTTGTATAGCCTAAATATATAATTAAAAAAAAATATTTTTAAAAGTGTTTTTTTTTGGTGCACTTGCACCATGGTGCACCCCTTATGTAATCAAATAAATACAAATGATCGACACCCCTATAATCTATATAACTGATACATCATGTGATGTAACACAAGTCAATGTGATTCGACCCTAACCCTAACTCTAACCCTAACCCAAACCTTAAAACTAAACAACCATATACATATTACATATCCAGTATAGTGTTGCTTGCTGCAAATATGAATTGCAACTTTTTTATAGCACAACTAGGGTTGCAACTTATTGTTGCAATAGACGTAACCATCTTAATCTAGTAAATGATGACTTATTTGTAATAATTACAACATAAATAAGCTGTAAATTGCAAGTTGCGACTTTGCAACAAGCAACTCTAGTCCAGTAAGATAATAAATCTTTCGAATTTAATGGTTATACCATACAAGCATTCAGTTCTGAAGACTATATTACTACAATGTATACCATATTAAATACTAAACACATGCATAACTAAGTAAAACCAGAACTTAAAAATTAACAGTAATAGCAATTAACAGTTGTCATTAAACTTTATTAAACATAGTATTAGATTTTCATCTCTATTATGAAAATATGCACATACTGGTATATACTGTATGTATATATGTTACGAGTCAAGTTGGTTTTTAGATTGAGTTAAACTTGACCCAAGACAATTTAATCAATTAAAAAACCCAGCCGGTATCAACGTAATTTCGATTCACACTAACCCTAAAATTCTACTGAAATTATTTTGACTTGGGTCAAGGTTAACTCAACCTAAAAATCAACTTGACTCACAACATATATACACTTTCTTGATATTACAGCATTAGTTGGTAATGTTAGTCAACTGAATCATCAACCGATTATCAAATAATATCATACTAAAGAACAATAAATATACAGAAATGTAAGTGTAATAATATAGTTCTAGACTGATTAATAACACTACTAATTAGTTGTCCAAAGAATAACAGCACAAAACAACATTTTTGTTTCAAGTTAACATTCTATCGCTATGTAGCACTATAATTGGAATATACAATAAAGCATATGTTAACTCCACAACCAATTCTTGTCAATAACTCTAAGTTATATGATGCATACAAATATATGCACGCACGAATAATCAAGTGAATATGCAAACAACAAAGCAATTAAACGATACATATAAATGCACATATGCACAAATAATCTCCAGTATAATGTTATGATAATCAATTTTTACCAACCCTATATACTTACTCTTCTATCTTATTTGTACAAGTTGCTACGTTGTGGCCTGGCTCTTTACAAAATCTGCAAGTGTATTGTCCATGTTTCTTTTTATTTCCTGTATCTTGTGATGTAATTTTTGCAGCATTCTTGTGACTTGCTGATTTTGGTCTTCCCTTAACAGTAACCTTTCGGGGATTCACAAGTGGTATATCTTCAATAGTATGTCTTTTAAATAAAGTATGCGTCAAGGTTTTTTGTTCTCTGATCAATTCATCTTCTCTAATATGAATCCTGCTCAAATACTCTTCGATTAAACAAACAAATTCATGGTCACGATGTAACATGCATTTGTTTACAGCAGTACGTGCAAGCCCCAAACTTTCCCATAAAAAAGCATTTCATTAATATACCTTTCATTTGTAGTTTTACCTGTTTCATTATTGTTAAATGGCTGTAACTACACAAATTAATCTTCAATGTTCTTTGGTACAGTATCTATATTGGTAATGGCATTACCAAACCTTTGACCAAAGTATATACCCTCCTTTGCAACATCTAATCGTTGGTCTCTTGGAATTCAGCGCTTGGCAATTAGGCATAAACTAAACTGTAACTTCTCTGTAATATTTAGCAAATAGTAAAAATGCCAACAAACAAGACCTTTTTTTTGTTGTAAAGGGCACATATAACTATATAAGCTATTAGAAAGAAGAAATACAAAATGATTAATTTTACTGCTTGTAACTCTTGACAATTTCCAAATCTCCTCAATTGTATTTCGTTCTAAGCGATCCAGAAGACATTTGGCTGATAAATTAACAGCATCAAGTTCACCATCCATGTCTTTACTTTGTGATAATTCACAAATAATAAGTGACTCAACCTCTTCAACTGTAGAATGACTGGCCATATAATACAAACTTTTCTTCATTTGTTCTATTAAAAAATGAGAAACATTCAGCCTTAAATAGCATTTTACTAAAGATTCAATAGCAGGAAAAATAGTAACAACAATTGTTGAAGAAAGAGTACCATGTTTCCATTCTTCAAATTGCTTTCGTTTTTGCTCCTCATTATTTCGCTCCATCAGTACTTTACCCAACTCATACAAAGATGTATTACTGCTTTCTAACACTCTCTTAATGCATGCATTTTGACTTTCAACGAAAGATGTAGATTGAATTCCTAGTGTAAATGCTGTTACAGTGAAAGCACATGCCCACGAAAACCGACATTTATAAAGATAACATTCAAGATACAACCTTGCATTAGGAAAACTTATAAATTGCCCCCAATAGTACTCAAAACCATGTAATGTATCTGCATTTCTGCATTGCCAAAATTTACTGTAAAACTCATCAAATGAATCCTCTAACTTACTATGCAACATCTTTTTTATATTTTCCTTAACATGCCAAATACAAAAAAGATGTTGCATTCCTGGATACTCTAGTACTACTGCCCATTCCATTGCTGGATCACCATCGGTTAAAAAACGTTGGGGTATCTATTGTTAGTGGCTTTTTTTGTCATTTGAAGAACCCATTGGTATGTTTTAACTGTCTCATTACTGACAAAAGCCTGAGTGACAATATGAGATTGCATATTATTGTTCTGAGCTACAAACAAAGAAAGTGGCATGTTGTACCTATTGGTACCCACTGTGTTATCATGACCAATTGACTCACCAAACTCATACTATAACAAAATTTGTTCTGGACTTATCCAAAACAAATTTGTTAATGTATTAGTTTCATCTTCTCATGTAATTTTAATAAGCTAGCAAGAATCCTCTTGTTGTTTTGACAACAACTGGTTATAAAAATGTGATGCATCATTTTTAATTACATTATTTGATAGTCGATACTATTGTATTTCAATGTAGAGTTTCTTAGAAAACAGAGGATGAGATGGAAATTTTTCCTTTAAGATATGTCACACCATAGTTGCGCCAAGCTGGCACTTAGTAACCAGAAATTCAACTTCTTGCCGCATTTTTTCAGTAAACTGTTTTTTTTCAAATTGTATTGCTTTAGAAGATAAATCATGGTTATGATTATCATTAAAGGTGGTAACAATTATGCGAAAACCAGGATTATCTTTTAAAGGACATGAAAGGTTAATATGGCATGGACACATTATACGGGTCGAAGTACTTTGCCTTGCGCTATCCTTTGGTTTAAATAAACCTGAGTGCTTGCAAAGAATAGTATGTTTTCGAGTTGCCTTTTCATTTTCTGCAGTATTTACTGTTTTCAAACTCCAAGTCATACTTTAAACCCTTTATGTTTAGCAAAACGCCGTACGTGAGCTTCAGCTTCTTCAAAATTTTTAAAAGAGTCTCCATCCCTTAAAGATACTGTCTCTGCATTACTGTATATGTTACTTATATCCTCGCTACAGCAAGAAGTTTCCTCAAAATATGTTGCTATATCGATATCATCCTCGTTATATTCTTCCATAGATCCTAGTTTTTGTTTGACGCTACGATCTTGGTTTGAGAAAAAGAACTTGTAAGAATAGTATTAGTAAGCTCAGTATTAGTAATAACCAATTCAAGCAAAAAAGTCTATTTGAGTTCCTGACTAACAGAATTCTGACGGTCATAAGCCTGACAGTTTTAGATTGCAAACTTCTTGCTTATGACCTTTTGAAATTTCGTATAATACTTTAGCAAGGCATTTTTATTGGTAATGCGGCTCTTGATAAAGTAATCTAAAAATTATAAGACTTGTTTTAGTACTTTAGTATGTGTAAAAAGTGAAAGAAATTAAATCATATTACTTATCTGTGCAGACATTAATAGCACTTAAATTCAGAAATCATTTTATTTGTAGTGTGGTTCTTGATTTAGAGTAATCTAAAAAAGCAAAAGATTTATTCAGTACTTTAGTATATGTAAAAAATGATATAAAGAATATCTGTATAGACACGTCACGAGCATAGTTGAAAATCTATTTGATTGGTTGTCGATCACTAAAATTTCATTGGCTGCTTATAATAATGTTCTATCCAAAAACATGATCAATTATATATTAAGTTGCTGACAAATTTGATTATATTTGATTAAATTTGTCAGAAGCAAGTAGTATTAAAGAATAAAATTTCTTTAAAATTTCATTGTTTGTTTGTTATAAAAATTTATAACTTACTACTTGCAAGTTATAAATTTATATAAAAACAAATAATGAAATTTTAAAAAAATTTTATTCTTCAATACTACTTGCTTCTGACAAATTTAATCAAATGATCGATTGTATTTTTATATATAGTATTACTATGATGATCAACAATCAATCAAATAGAATTTCCATTAGGCTCATGTTGCAAATAATTTTTTAAATAATGAGATCACGTGACAGGTGCACTATGGTGCATGGTGCACCAAATTATAATTCTTTTTTTAAAATTATATTTATTTAAATATTTAAAATTTGTACTAATATTTTTAAAATAATCTTTTTAATACATTTTTAATAAAAAGTTTACTAAAACCTTTTGTATTTTATATAATATTTGTAATTATAATTTTTATAAAATATAAATATATAATTATTTAGTAATATCATTTTTTTTTATAAAATAGATATATATTATTTTTTAACATTATACTAAATTATTTAATTATTAGTTATTTTATTAAATTAACTTGTAATTAAATAAATATATTTAATATTTGAAGATTTATAAAGTATATTTATAAAAAAAATTAAAATTAATTTTAATTATATAATATTTAAAAAAAAATTAATTAATTTTTTTAAAAAATTAAAAAGGAACAAACTCTCCCCTGCAGATCCCTCGACCAAAATTTCCAGGAAGCAAAATTTTAGTAAAACTCAACAAATAGACTAGGAAACAAGACTTGAGATACTAACAAAAAAGATAGAGCAGCAAAAACTGCA